TTACCGGGGGAATTTGTAATAGAAGCATGAAAGCAACTGAAGTTTATAAGGCAATAGGAGCACAAGAAGAAGTTGGAGATTAGTGCTGCAATGGTGTTCAACTCCGCTGTGATGAGAAACATAATAGCAAATGTAGAAACAGACAGATGAACACAATGTGTACATAAATTCAGAACTTAAAGAAAATTCATGAAAGTGCTTTACATTTGTAAAAACTGGAAAAACAAAACTTGCTAGCAAAGATAAAGTTGGACATACCAATGAGAATGAAGGCCACAGCAATGAGGTAGCAGAGAATATATGCTCTGAGGGGCTCTTTATTTTTCCCATACCCTTTTGCGAAGAATATAATGTATGGGTATATTTTGTCCTTGCACAGACACTAAAAATAAGAGACAAAAGATAATTATAAGTTAGATACAATTTTACACATTAAAATAAATTAACTATTATTTATCTAAATTAGACATTAGGGAGCACACGCCAGTGTATTTCTTGTTCCAGTCTATGCCCAGATAAATGGTTACCATTGAGTCAGAGCATCCAGCGTAAATCACTTTTGCCAAAATAAATCAAACCATTGGTCAAGGCCTGGGTTAATAATGATTGCCACTGGTGCTGTTGACAAATGATGTCCCAGCAGATATTGTGCTACTGTTAATCAAAGACCACAAGGAGGAAAACATATCAGGAAACAGAGGGAGAAGAGGAATGTCAAAAGTGCAGGACTGAAGGCGGCAACTCTAAATGTTGGGACAATGACTGGCAAAGGTCAGGTAGCTGGCTGTCTGGCCAGCTGGCTGACATGATGCTGAGAAAGAAGGAACATGTGTGAACACACCAAGTGGAAGGGCAGCAACAGCAGTTTTTTGACCAGGGTTCAAGCATTTTTATCATGGTATGAATAAGAATAGAAATGTAGTAGGGGGAGTGGAAGCTGGTCAATAGAGGGTAATAGGGCGCCGCCCCTCCACTTGCACCAGTCACCATATTACCTTTCAGACATAAAAAAATTAAAAATTAAATAATAAAATAAAAATATTTTGAAATAATGTATATATTTTTAAGTTGTGTAAAATAAATATTTTATAGTTAATGATGAGTAAAGTTCTTTCTTTCAAAATCGTCTCTGATTGATGACGTATTTTCGTCCTGGGTGCACAAGAATCTTTGCCCATAGACTCTCGTTAAAAGTTGTACATGCACAATAGCTCTCCTTCCAATTCAAGAGATAGGAAGATTCTGGGGACACTACTTCTACGCTCCTGCGCCCAGAGTATGAGCGCTTGGTACAGATCGTATATATATATATATATATATATAT